TACCTTAATGTATACCAATATCTTCCACAACACAAAAACATTTGTTGATTGATTAACCATGGAGCTAAACTCAATGTCAAAATAAATGCGTAGCCCACATTAAATGATGGATTGCTCATTACCTAATGACTGTGAATTACAAACTCAATTCTGCTGTCAGACCTAAGACAGTTTGGCCAGGAGAATTAGTCAAAATGTTTAGGAACAGGGAAAGAAAGTCTTTTTTTTGCACTGATGGCCATGCCATACTTAAACCTTGGTAAACCAGTGTTCAGATTGTTGGTATTGTTCTGGCTATGAGCCACAAGTACACATTCATTACATGGTATTGCTACTCCATTGATAATATCCTACTCTCTGCTTTTGCTGCCAATGTGCTGCAGATTGAATATGCACTTGTATATTCTGAATGTGATATTAATACCTGAATCATATTTTTAAAAAGTAAAATAAACAATATTTGTTGGAAGTCAGATAATAAACAATAATGCAGTTAGCCAGAGTAAATATCGTTGGTAGTTCTCCCACGTTTACAACTATGTTCATTATTCCCTTGTTGAGTGAGCTCATGGTGTTTCATCAGAAACCCCAACTCAGCCAGAATGAAATTTATCTTTTTTTTAAGGAACTTATAACAAAAGACAATACATAATGTCTCTCACTGATCTGTTCCAGTCTCTAAGAACTCTCTCTGGCAAGAGTGCTTCCTGGGGCCTGAGCTTTGCTATTCCTTGGTAAAGTCATTTTCTTTAATTCTGTCCTCGGTAGAAGCAGGGAAGAGTAAACATTTCTTTGCAACATAAGCAGCAAATATGCACAGCATTATGTTAATAATAAATATCTCCTGTCCATTATTTAAGATAAGGAATCTATTAAAGTCATCAATTTATTTACCATTAGGCATATAAAAAAGAGACAAGGATGGAAATAAGACTCCTGTCTGACATAGTAAAAGGCAATTTATATCTTTTCTAGAGGTATAGATGCCATTTTGAATATAGTTATTCATGATGACCCACTCATTTAGGATTAAAGGGTATATTCCACAGGAGACATTAAAACTTTAATGTTCAAATCTCTTTAAAAGGATTTTTACAGACAGCTTCACAAGGACATTATTCATGGCTGCAAAAAGAAAAAGAAAAATACAAGATTTCTTTTTTGTAAATGTTTTCGCCCTTGGCTTTATCTAAAGTTTCTTTTTACATGGATGTACTATTTAGAAGCTTTGTTTTTGTACCTGCATTAGCAGCTATTTCCGCTCTTATCTTGCTTTTTCAAGGCAACAGGCACTAAATCATTTGTTAGGACTGAGTAAGAAAGTTCAGGGCCTAAAGAAATCTAACACTTAATAAAGGAGTATAGAAAATAACAGATTTTAAAAAGAAGGGAATGTAAAACTTAATATTCTGCTTCTGCAATAATAATAGATTTCTTGAGGTAGAGCAAAGCAAGAGAATTCTTCTGGGTGTTTTTATAATAGTTGAATATTATAGATAAATATAATGGACTTGTGTTAAGAGTTAAAAACAAGTGCAGTATATAAAAATTCACTGTTCCAAAGCTTCGTTTAAGGAAAACCATATTGTTATTGGATTCATGCTACCTACTTATTGTCCCAATAAACTGCATACTAAAGACAATTTAGTATGACGTAAAAATCTAAACTCATTAGCGCTGAAGTAGGTCATGTTAAGTGTCCTGAGGGTTTTGGATGCAATGAGAACATCTATCAGAATTAATAAAATGGATTCTAACAACATTGCCATTATTTACATCATCATCACCATAGCCATCAATTATTTATTGAATGCCCAGAGTGAGTAGGGTATACTTTTTAATGCTATTTTACACTGAAGTCGGCTCCTGGGAACTTGAACTTAAAAAATTAAAAGCAACCAGAAAGCCTCCAACAGAGACTGAGAGTCAGGGAGGAGTAGGACAGAGAACATGGGGAAATGCTGAAAAGCTCATATTCGTAAAAGAAGGCCAGAAAGGAAAGACAGTCTTTAGTAGTGAAAAATATCCAATTTGCACATGACCCCTACTCTACTTAGCAGCTCCCCTCCTTCTCCATCTATGCCTGCACCTCTTTGCTGGGTGGCTTGGGAGCCTATAAGAACAACAAAATCCAAGGAAGAAGTTTTAGAGGATTCAAAAATAAAGGGAGGGGGAAAAAATCACTGAACAATGGGAAAGGTTTTGAGGAGATTGGAGGTAAGCTCAGCCTTCCTAAAAGATTTTTCCTCATGTGTCTTTCATTTCGTTTTGTTCTGTTGTCTCACATGTTTGTCACTCATGTAATTTCAAATGAAAACAAAACAAAGTAAAACAAAATACATCCCCAGGAAGCAGTAGCGCAGAGTCTGGGGAGTCCTGCAGGCTGGTTTTCAAGGGCTCTTACGAGAGCCCTTAAGTGGCACTTACCCTGGTAACGTCGGCCCCACGCAATGTCTTGTCCTCACTTTTGCCACACCAGAAACCCAATTTTTGTGGGCATCAGAAGTAGGTCTGTTACAAACAGACACACGCAATTCAGCTCACGTATCTCATTTCAGCAGTGCCCTATGGGGATTATACATGGGAAATCAAGGTGTCAGATAGTTACTTGGTAGCTGGGAATCAGAATACAGAGCATAAGCTGATATACTGTGAAGCATTTCTACCCAGTTAGGGATAGCTTTACCAAGGGCACCCGGATGCTCAAGTCTGTACCGCTAATACTCTCCCCTCTGGGTGGCATTTGAATAGACATTGTCCACTCCTGGCTCTTGGGACTTGTTGTCCTGTTCTTTGCTACATGTGACTAATTCCTTTCTATTGTGAAGGTTTTTACCAACCAGGACCAAGTGATCTCCTAATACTGTAAAGGTAACCAGATAAACTACAGAATGCCCAGTTAATTTTGAATTACAGATAAACAATCAATAATTTTTAGCACAAATATGTCCCAAACATTGAATTGAGATCCTCTATTTTCATTTACTAAATCTGGCAACCCCAAAACCAATTGGCCTTCCCGAGCTTTCTTGCTTACTTACCCTGATTTTAGTTTTGGGTGTTTCCAACCTCTTTGATGCACACATACAGTTTCTTGCTTTACTCATAAAAGGCTAATAACTTTCATTTTGTGTGGACTTACCAATTTGATTTCCTTTTAGAGTACAACCTTCCCTGATTTACAATTTGTGTGGTGCAGTGTAGAAGAGCAGATCTTATTATTATGGCTATGTACTGAGAGTAGCTGTTGAGATAAATTGCATTAGTCAGAGTTGTTTAAAGCAATAAAAACCACTTTGGGAAGGATAAAGGACTAGTATAGAGAAGTTCCAATAAGATCACTTTACTTTTACTAGATAGCTAAAATAATGTGTATCGAGGGAAAGGGAAATAGGAATTCTGTTATGGGAGAAGGGTAATTTTGGGGAACGGAAAACTTTGTGTGGAAGGCAGGTGTGGGTATTAGAGCTCTGTAATGGGGACTTGTAGTATCGCAAGTCTCTAAGAAGGAGAACACCAGGATGTTACAGGGGATTCATGATGAGAGGGAGGGAGATGCCAAAGAAACTTGGAATATTTCACCTGTGTGTAGGGCTGACGCTAGATGTGCAGGGAGCTGGAATTCTTTCTGCTGTTGTCCATTCTGTTTGTTCCTCTGGTCCAACCCCATAGTGTTTTTATTAGTACTGTTATCTGCCTGCATTTAGGTCAAATAGACCCAATTTTGTGGTCTAGCTAGGAATCTCACCATAGTACATAAGGCTAGTTTGATGAGATGGGGTCTGAGTTTCAAACAACTGACTTACAAATAAAATGTTGAAACACAACTTGGTCAGGCTGGGTGTGACTTATTCACCTGGTAGGTATTGAATCCAGGTAAAAGGCCTGGTCACAGTACAAGGTATGACATTGTATTAAATTGAATACACATCAAAAACAGATCTTACAGATTCAGTTCAATCACATTCAATTCAGCAACTATTTGTTTACTACTTTTCTAGAAATACAAAGATAATATCCTCTAAAGAGGGGTGGAATAGAGAACAGTGCCCAATTGTGCACTGTGTTAGGTGTGGGGGTCAAAGGTGAAAGAAACCTTGCTCGGACTTCAAGATGTTTACAAGTAACTGAAATAGGACTAAGGTTGCTATTAAAAAGAAAGGAGTAATTAAGAACGAGAGATAAAGTATGTGGAAAGTGGTTTGCAATATAAAGTGCTGCGCGACTTGTTCAGGAATGGGCCACTAGGTTACTGACACCCCATTTTACCTACAATTAGGAGTAATAGGAAAGGAAAACAGTCCTTAAGAGACTAAGAAGGGAGGTCATGAACAATCTGTCGAGACATTAGCCGCAAGACCTTGGGCAAATCACACAGCCTTCAGTCTCAATTTTCTCCCCTGATAAATGGGAATTACCAAAATCTACCTTTCAGAGTTATTGGGTAGATTAAGCAAGTAATGAGCGAAGCAAGCACCTAGTATAGTGCCTGCCAGGAGAAAAGGGTTCAATAAACCCTACTTCTTATTAGCACCTATTTTCAACTTTTCTGGGTGATTGAGAAGGAACACTTTGTGCAGGGCTACTGCACAGCGTCCTCTTCAGGGGCATGCTACACCGCACAATGTCCACAAGTGACGTCCTTTAGCCTCCGACTCGCGCCCCTTGCCCTAACCGAGGACCGGAGAAACTCGTGGTCTTGTAACGAAAACTGAGCTTTGCTTCTTCTTCGTAGACACTGAGGGAAAACTGTCGTAGAAGCCCAGGCTTCAAAGAAGGGCAGCAGGCAAAGGGGTCTCGGGAAGGGTCTCAGGCGCAGGGTCCAGAGCAGGACCCGCCCCCGCGACTCGGTCCTTAGTGCTAGAGCACTGGCGGGGAAGTCGGAGACAAGGGGCGTGGGGCGACAGCATCGGGTGTCAGTGGCAGCAGAGCCGGGGCGGGCACATCGACCGTCCAATCCCCAACCGTAACCTCGGCCTCATGAATAAGCAACAAAGCGAAGCGCCCTCCCCCTGGCATCCCAGACTGTGGAGCGGGCCGCCACCGCTGCAGGGGCCGCCGCGGGGATGCTGAGCGCGGGCGCAGCTGCTCTCCAGGCGCTGCTCTGCTGAAGGCGCACAGGTGAGGACGGGCCCGGCTCCGGCCACGCGGACTGCCGCGGCTGCAAACCCGGGGCCGGGGTAGAGAGGGAGCCGGAGCTCCGGGCGGTGCGGGATCGACCCGGGAGCTGTGCAGTCGGGGGAGCGCGGCAGTCAGGGGCGCGCCAGGCGTGCGCCCTGCGCCCCAGTCGGAACGCGGCGCCCGGCGCCGGGTGAACGGGGGCTGCCCCGGGTGCCCTGGGCGCGGTGCGCAGGCCTCAGAGGACTCGCCGCACTCCTCTCTCTAGCCCAGCCTCCGGGCTCCGCACCAGCGAGCGGGCCTTTGTGCTGGCGGAGCTTGCAGGGCTAGCTGCTTTTGTGTGGGCTTTTCTTTCTTCTCGCTCTCCCCTCCCAATCCCACAGCGGTGATAGAGAAGTTCCCGAAGACTGCGTTTTGCTCCTTTCAAAGCATCGATCGGAATGTCCCCTATGCCAAACAGTGCCTAGCAGCTGAGGTGCGAATGAAGGCTGCGGTGGCCACCGAAATGTGTTGTTACTTTGCAGAAAAGAAACAGTTGAGTGCCTGGCGCAGAGATGTCACTGAACCTCTTTACTCAGACTCTGGCTGGTTCCCCAGGACGCGGCATGAGGATGCTCCTTGGAAAGGTCACTTAAATGGAAGGAGGGCCTGCGGGTTAGGCGCGGAGGTCAGGCTCTGCCTGAGACTCTAGAATGGTCGTTGCGAGGTGCTGTCTGGAGGTGCCCAAATGTCTCATGTGCGTCCTGATCAATGACAGACCCTGACCTGTGTAGATTCTGAACATGGAGAGAGTCCTGGCTGGTGAGGAAGCAGCCAAAAACTGTTAAAAGTAGGAGTTCTTAAAGATGAGAAATCTGCCTTCCCAAGCTGATCCCAAGAATCTGCTAGGATCTTGGCACCTCATTTCAGGACAGAACTGTTGTGGAGGAGAGGAGAGAGGCTGCGTTAGAGTATCTGGCTTCATTGTTTTGAAGTTTTAGTTTGAAACTTAAGGGGGAAAGGAAGTGGTTCACAAAACCATCCTTAGAGCTCTGAACGATTTCTTCTATAGGAAGCAAAATGTGTGGCCCAAATGTGTGTGCCTCCCCCTCCTTTTTGTGTACTTCCCCGATCACACGTGATGCTGCTGGGCTCCAAGGAGTTTCATTTAAGCCAAGAGCCTACAGAGTCACAAACTGACTTGCTCACTTGCCCTCAGAACCCCACTGGAGCTTTTAATTGAAAGAAACTCAAAACCGGGGTGAAGTTTCGCAGGATCAGAACATTGCTACTTACTTTTACACACAGTAGAGATCTAAGAGTAGACTTACTTTTATGAATAAGGTAGAGTTATTATATTTGTCAAAAGAATGAACCAAGAGCTTATGCAGCAGACTTGATATTGATTGCATTTATTCACAAACGTCCCAAGTCTTGGGGAGTCTGATGTAGCTACAGAGACAGAGTTAATTAGGGAGATGTGGATTTATCTCTCTTTTCATAGGAAGCTTCTTACCATTGTATTCTGGCGTTCCATGCTAAACTTTTTGATATCTTGCTATGGTATTACAGATATGGTCTGGTGCTTAATAAAAGTATAAAATCAAAAGGAGGAAGATGTGCTTACCTGTTTCCACTCTTTAACTACAGGTGTACTTCACTGATTATTAGCAGATGTTTGCCTGAAAAATTGTGTATGGAATTATATTTTTGTCCACTGAATTTTGTTTAGTCTCACAACAGAGAAGCTGGCTGTTCCAAGGAAACCTGTGTTTAAGCTCTATAAAATAAAAACTCATTCCCTATTTAAGATCTGTGGTCAATCCTGTTTTTCCCTATTGTGTTCGCTTCATGATTATAAGAAAATTGTCTGATTCAAGTTTCAGCCTGAAGTGTTAGGTATTATGATTATTCCTTGAAATGCCTACCTGAGGATGATTCCCCGGTCACTTTGTCTACATGAGAAGCTGGAAGGGGCGGCTCTGTGGAAATAGCTAGGGGAAAAAAAGGATGTTATGGATGCTTCAGATTGCTCACATTTCTGTAGTTTGAGAGGAATGCATGTCAGAATCACCGTGATGTCTTAAATTGTATGTTACTGAAAACTTTTCCTTCAAACCATTTTCCTGTCTATTGTCACCTTTTAGTTTCTCTTTCACCTTTTCAAGAAAACAGAATTATCATTATAATCTCCATTTTGCAATGAGGAAACTGAGTTTCAGTGATTTTGCCCAAAGTAGAGCCGGAACTTCAAACCAATGTTTAAATCTTCAAGTCTGGCTTCTTTTACTAGGGATAGGATGATGCGCCAGGTGTGATAAGCACAGACATCTTCATTTGTCTACAGTGCTAAATTGTAGAGACTAAAGCCGTAGGCGCCATATGAAGCACTTAGCTGTGGTCTGCAGGGATGGGAAAACCCAGGGCAGGTATTATAGTTGCCAGTGTAACCGTCTTCACCCAGCCTACTTACTCTCTTCCCTGTCAGCACTGATGCCGCTTTCCTCCCTGGGGACCATGCTTTTCTTTGTGGTCACTCTATTCTCCCTCCTTCCTCTGTGGTCTAGCACGCTGCTGAAAGGATCATCTGTCATCCCAGCTACTTACTTTATAGTGAAAAATGACTGGGGCTAGATGATCTTAAAGCCAATATATCAGGCCACTAAGAGTTGTCAACAGCACAGTGAATCAGAAATGGGGTACCTTAATGATGTGTGCCACAGTTGGGCTAATAGGGTCTGAGTCTTGATGAGCTCAGCCCTAGACAAATGAAATAGCATTGGCAGCGAGGGCCTTCACGATTAAAACAAGAAAAAATAGGACAGTGACAAATTAATCATTGAGGATCAGGAAAAACACAAAAAGGAAAGATTATAAAGATACAGACAAAGAAGGGAGTTTCCTTTTCCCTTCCTCAATCACCGAATCACTAATTGGATTTTTAAAGGTGAGATGGTAACGGGGAAGCAAGTCAACCTGAAGCTCTGAGACTTGTCACTTGTTATTGCTGATCTATTTTTTAAAATGAATAAATGCTGAAAACCTAAAATACAGCAGAAATGAGAATATAGAAGTTATTAGTGTCATTAAAGTGATACATTGACTAAGTAGCCAAAACTGGTTATGTGATGAACAAAACATGCAATTAGACATTGATAGACCATGAAATGTCATAGAAATATTACAACATAAAGTGGAGAGTCTGCACATTCTTTTTCATATTCTTAAATGTTATTTATATTCACTTCACGCCAGCAAATATTTATTGAACACCTCCTCTATGTGCCTACCACTATTAGCATTTATATGGCAAATAGAGGAAGCTAAAAGATCAGTGTTTGTGTGCGTAGAACATAACCTTATTTGAGGTGACCAGACTTACAGACATGATTATTTGTGCAAGAGAAGCTGGGAGAAGGGCAGGAAGAGAATGGGCGAGGCAATTTTGTGACAGCAGTTGGTAAATAGGACGAGACCTGGGGGGCCAGGGTTTGGATACCTAGGGCAGGGATACTTAGGGTGGGGAAGAGGGAGGGAGTTCTGACTAGTGCAGTGTCATGAGGTGCCTGAACTTGGAACCTGAAATGAGTAGGGCACAGGAGAGGGCAATATACCCAGCTGGCAGTGGTGTCTGTACTGGGCACTAGTGCTGTGGGGTCACATTACAGATACAGAGTTTGGCACGTGTGTGTTCGGGAGCACTAAATTATGTGTTTGGGGAAAATGGAGGGTTGCAGTGGCAAAGGCAGGGAACTTGAAGTCTTATGGAATTCACAAGTTGAAAAACAGACACGATCCTATAGGCAAGTTAATTATCCTCTATAAGCCTGTAATTTTCTCATCTAACAAAGAAATGAAGATAATGGTAGTACCAATGTCATTAGGTCACTGTTAGGGTTAAATAAGATAACTTACATAAGGCACTTACAACACTTGGCACCTAGGATTCCCCAAATGGTAGTCCTTTTAAAAATTGATTATTGTCATTTTTATTCTTAAGAATAAACCATCCGGATTGTATAAAATGAATTGGAGGGGAGAGAGTCTGAAAAAGATCATCAATAAAAAGGCAATTGAAATAATAACAATTCAATGAGGTGAAAGGAAGGGATAATTCCAAGTGATATTATGAGGAAAGAATCCACAGCAGTTGTGAAGCTAATATGTAAAGCAGAGAGGAGTTCAAGATGATACCACCTGCAGGTGAAGAAGATAGTATATTTCATTCCGGTGGCATCCACGTAACTTCCAACCGACAATGAAAATCTAAGATTAGGCAGCTTTCTACCTGACGCCCCATACTAGCTACTTATGGTTTTTGTGTTTATCCCAAGGGGAAAAAAATATCAAGCAGATTGTCACTAGTCTTTTTGCGGGGGAAAAACTCTACAGCCCTCCTGTGTGTTGAGTACTCTTAGGGTAACGCTCATGTTCCTCATATATTATACCTGGATCCCAATTTGCTTTGAAAAAAGTAGCTTTGTCCCTGCAAAGGATGTTTTAACATGCTGGTCCTCTTTTATGTGTGTATTTGGGTAATACACCGAATAATGGTAGTATACATTTTAGTTGGAAAAGTAGTGACCAAGTGTTTTAAAAAGCTGATTATTAAGTCTAACAAGATGGCTAAGGCTTTATTTATTTATTTATTTATTTATTTATGTTGTCTTTCATTTGTCTTTGAAACATGACTATGCCTAGACTTGACAAAGAAACAGATTCTGGACTGTATCTATTTAAGATTGTCAAAGATAACGCTTGACAGGACAGCTTATCTGCCCACTGGTGAAAGAAATGTAGTCAATTGTTAGAGGACTGCTGAGCCATTAGGAGACCTTGATACAGAACAATAGACCGAGTGAGACTGACTTGCTCTGAAACAGATGCTTTTTAAGTGATTAGAAGCTAATATCCACTCTCAGCAATTTTGTTAGTTTATTTATCTGAATTAATTTATCTGGATATAGTGAAGGGAAAGCAACATCCAAAGTCACAGTGTGAAGGAAAAGTTAGAGGAATCTTCTTCTGTTTGTTTATTAAATATTTTTATGCTTGAGTTAATTGAATATACTTGAGACACAGAATTCTAATAAGTAGTGAAATCTCCCGCTCCCTCTTCCTCCTGCAGCAAAGTGAGCTATAGACATTCATCTGTTTGTTCAGCCAATATTTGCTGAGCATTTCCTCTGTGCCAGGCACTTGCCAGGGAGAGGATGGTTATTTAAGTTTAGAAATACTGTCATTGGATTGACAACAGTCTGTCTTATTTTTTCTCTAATGTCATGCAACTCCCCCTGGTGGGACACCAAGCTCGTGGGAGTGGCTTTGTGAACCTGGACTGTGCCTTGAAAGATTGAGAAAGAACTGGAACTTGAAGGTCATCGTCCAATTTACCTGAGTTGCAAACATGTCCTGCTGCCATTACCGGCTGTCTTTTTTTGCTTCTTTTGAAGTTCAGACATCATTTTGAAAAGTGGAGAGAAGGAGCATATGGCTGCAATACACAGACTTAGAATAGGCCAGCAGTTCACCCCCACTTTTTCTGGCGTAATTGGATTTAGAAAGCAGGTGGTCGGCACTTAATTACAGAAGGAAAGTCTTTCAAAGCAATGGCAGAATTCCTTTCACGCAAATATCCTAAAGCTCAAGATCTAGGTGAAAATAAAACCTTGAAGGAAAACTCTGTTTGGAAAAGCAATTGAGGTCATATTAAATCTTTATTGTTTGTGTCCCCCCAGTCCCCAACCTGATTTGATCATAAAATTCTCCTCTTAGTCCACATGCCTCCAGAATATATTAAATAAAATGTGAAACATTTGTTCAATCATTTGGGCGCCTTGCCTGCTTGATGGCAAAATTGTGGGAATATGAAAATATTGTACTTTATATCATATAGGTAAAATGTGAAAATGGAATCGTGGAGGAAGAAGGGATTTCAAAGATTATTTTAACTCCTCATATTGTCAAAGGAGAAATCGAAGCCATTTGCCCAGTGTCATGCAGCGTTTTAACAACAGTAAAGCTAGGAGTCAGGAATGATTTTTTAAACTTTAAATTATATTTCATTGTTTATGTTATCACAATTGTCCCACTTTTTCCCCCTTTGCTTCCCTTCACCCCCTGCCCCACTCCCTCAGGCCATCCCCACACCGTTGCCCATGTCCATGGGTCATGCATATATATCCTTTGCCTACTATATACCCTATGCTGTACTTTATATCCCATGACTTCAGGAATCATTTTTCTGATGCCAGTCCGTGACCCCCTGAACTTGACTACCACCATGATAGCCTATTCTTTTTTCCAGGTTTTTATCCGGAAGCATAGGATCTTGTAGGTTAAGCTTTTAGGCCACACCCTCCATCTTCTGGGAAAAAATATTTGTTCAGTAAAGGGCAGCTCTCAGAACAGATCGGAAATGAACCGGAGTTCTGTAGCTTTTATATATTTTCCACTGTATAGGGTTTCATAGTTCAACTTGTCTGCAGAAATCTGAACATGTAATATCATCAACTATGAACACTCATGCTTTCATGCTTTACTGCTCTCATAGAGGCAACAGGCCAACTACTGTTACCAAATCTGGTACGTGGCTATGAAATAGGATGCTTTTTGGCTTATCATATAATGATAACTAATGTCCAGAATGTTGACATGCCTTGGTTCATGCAATTCCCTCTTTGTCAAATATATTCCCCATATTCTCTCCTTTTAAAACAATGCTAGCTACCTGTATGTAATATAATATTTAAATAAATTTGGTTCAAACCTTCATTCTACATATGGGAAAATCTAACATCTCTTTCACGATCTCTGAGGATTCTTAGCAGGGGCTGGGCAGTGGCTTATATTTCTTATAATCACCTCTGGCTGTGATGTTCTTTTGCTGCCAAACCTATGGCCCCTGATGTGCTGCTGTTTTTCTGCGCTTGGCACTATGAAACCTCATGACATCAGCCCATTTCTGTATTCTCCCAAAGTACTATGGAGTCAAGCTTTTTATGTAACAAATCACCTCCAAACTTGGTGGCAATAAATGTTTATTATTTCATCCTATTTCTGTGCAATAGGAATTTGGGAATAGCTTAACTGGGTGGTTCTGGCTCAAGGTCTCTTAAGAAGCTGTAGTCAAGATGTCAGCTGGGGCGGTGGTCATCTGAAGGCTTGAGTGGGGCTGGATGATCTGCTTCAAAGATGATTCATTCATGTGGTGCTGGGAGTTCAGCAAGGCGCCTCAGCTCTGAATTCATGGATTCCTCTTTCCTCGTGTAGAAAAATTCAGCCTTTTATTTTTCTCAGCAGCCACCTAGTACTAAGTTCTTGACGTTTACTCTATCTCAAAAGAATCTGTAAGACTAGATGAAATAATAATCTGAAAGTTTTGAACACCTTAAGGGGAAAAGGCCTTATGAAAATGTAAATTTTTACATTTTATGTGTGTACATCACATGCTTAAACCAGATAGTTTAATGATGAGACATGAAAGAAAGGAAAGGTGTAACTTTTATAAAGATATGTTTTTTTTTTTTTTTATTTTAGAATTTTCCTTCCTAGGTTTAATTTTCTAGTAAACCTTCTGAATTTGAGAAATTTCTGATGATGGGAAAAGATAGGGCCTTACTTAGCTAAATAGATAAAAAGAACTAAAACCCTTAAGTTTTGGGTAAAATTATCAGTTTTGATATAGTTTTAGTAGTGATGAGAGTGTAAGCAGTTTTTAAAAAAATACAATGAGTCCTATTATTACAATAATGTGTATTCAGTAAAGACTGCTAATATAAAATGTGTTTTGATTCTCTTATTTTTTCTTTTAATAAATACCTTAATTCTTTTACCTTTTCTAATCCTTACATTGTGAACTTGAAGGTTTCACTTATATTTATATTTGATGCAGAGAAAAGAAATAACTTAAGCATTTTAAAGACAATTTAATTGAAAATAATTTAGATATTTTTAAAAAGTTTTGAATATAACTGGTATTTAGTATTTTATGATGACCCTTAATAGTTTTAAAATATACTTAAAAAAATAAAATGTACTTAAAAGGTTCTTCGAATGTAATGTAAGTAAATGTTGTCCTGGCCATTTCTGGCATCATTTGACTACATGATTAATAGAGGAATTTGGGGAGAATATTGCAAATGTGACTTTAAGGGTAGTTTATTTCAAGTAAGTATTTAAGAAACGATGAAGTGAGTACTTGAACTATGTGTGCCGTTGTCTAGAGAGCATCAAGTTAAATCAGCTGCAGAATTCAGCAGGGAAAAATGAACTGGGTTATCTATGTCTCAAAGGTACAAAGAAATAGAACAGTTCTCTCTTATGTACCATCTCTGAGCATGAAGTCAAGGAGATTATTTTACGTATGGTTTAATTCAAAGAGGACTTATTTACAAAATATATTTATATGATAGTTTGATGTGCTTTGTTTTTCTGCAGGACTCAATTACTGCCATTGTCAGCTCTGCCATTTTATATGCACATTTCTCTTCCACTATGAGAAGACCAATTGCATTGCACATTTGTCTGGCTTTCTGTAGCCTCCTACTTCTCAACTTTGCCACACAATGTTTGGCCTTCCCCAAAATGGAAAGAAGGGAGACAACATATGTTAATGAAAAAAGAATGCAGTCTGAGAGGATAAACGTGGATGACCTAGAAAATAACTCCATTACTTCTGAGGGCACTTCCCAACCAGTGGTCTCCGAAGACCCAGTGATAGTGTTAGCGGGACCATCAGCAATGCCATTAAGTAAAGTATTCCCCATCAACAAAGAAACCCATTCTGTGGAAGCAGGGCTCATGCAGCCTAATAGCCTTCGTACTGACACTACTACTGAGCCAGTGGTCCGAGCAGTAGAAGAAGTGTTCGGTTCCAGCCAGCCCGAGAGAATGTCTCCTGAAAGCCTCCTTTCCAAGGCTGTGATAACCAGTTCTTTCACGGCCACTGCTTCTCGGAGTGTTGATAAGGAGGAACCGTTTAGTAGTACCAACATTCAGCCCCTTGGAGAAGGGACCACAGAAACAACACAAGGTTTTTTGAAGTATGTCGATAATCAATTGTTTACAACTGAAAGTCAGGGAATCATTAGTCTGGGACATTCATCCTCGTCCTATGTGAATACTAACAAAATACTAACCACTGATCCAAGGACTGAGAAATTTGAAGCAGACACAGATCCTAGGACAACTTCTTTTCCTGGTGCTGAGCCCATAGCAGACACAGAGCCTGGAAGCCTCCTGCCTGATAGGGAGAAGCCTTTGCAGATGACAGCTGATAATACCCAGGCTACTGCCACCCAGCGCGGGCTTGCAATCTCCGAGTACAGCCTGAGTGTTGAGCCGGAAACTGACAGCCTGCTGGGAGCCCCAGCAGTCACAGTGAGTGTCAGCACAGCTGTTCCAGCTGCCTCTGCTTTCAGCGATGAGTGGGATGACACCAAATTAGAGAGTGTAAGCCAGATAACGACCCCAAAGCTTGGAGACAATACAGAGACTCAGCTGAGAATGGAAACGTCTCCGACAGCCCAAGTAACCGGTTATAGCATGGAAGGAATGGAAGGGGCTGGACCTCTGACAGAAGCTGCGCATGTGGGTCTTGGGCTGCCTGGAGGGGAAACACACACGGGGACAGCCCTGCTAAGAGCACATGGGGACGCGAGAGCATCTGCCTTCACCGATCAAATTTCCTTTACTCCCACAAGTCCCATGGAAGCTACGAAAGCCCCTGTTGTAAACTCGTTTCAAAATACTGCAGACTTCATGGAATCCACCAAGGAAAACAGTGCTGTGTTTTTCTTAGAGACCACCGTTTCCATCTCAGAATATGAGTCTGAGGCTTATCAGCCCCTGAGAAATACATTTAAAGGTAAAAGAAAGAAACAAAAGCAAGCTTTATTTAATTTGGAATGCTGTAATTTGGTTTTATTATTTTTAAAAATGGAAATATAATTGACATATAATATTGTACGGGTTTTAGGTATTGTTTTGTTTTTTAAAAGTGGCAATTTATGAAAAACTTATCTATGCTACCTCCCGCCTTGGAGGGAAACTGCCATGCCCATGCGGTGCGTGCGAGCGTGACTCACCCTGGCTTCACAGGACGCTCCGTGGGCCTCTGGAGGAAGGGGGGTCTAAAGTGCCCCAAGCTTCCTACCCAGTTGGGTTTTTTTTTTATAGTTTCCTGGTGGCAACAACGGAAACAAACAATCCTCAGAACTGGAAATCTAGGAATCCTAATCCCCAAGCAATGCATGAATTGCCTTCCCTAAACCTTCAGGGGTTTGTGAGAATCTGAAGTGACCCCATGTATTTTCCTGGCTGGTTGCCACAACTATGTGGTATTCAGTGCCCACATCCACCTGCGATGCCAAGGTTTCGTGAAACACGAGCGCTGCCTTTCCTCTGAGGTGCGACATTCAATGGGGAGGTGAGAAAGAGGTGATGGCAGGAGGGATAAAATATCTGATCTTCTTCCCTGCAGGCAGAACCAGCCCTCACTCAATGTTTATTATCAGTTATCTGAGAACAACCACGACAAAGAAAATTAGCTGAGACACCCAAGAAGCAAATATTAGAACCAAATATATTACTGATAACCACTGTATTTGAAGGAACTATATTGTGTGGATTTTAAGGACATTTTTATAAAGTACTGTAATTCTTTCATTGAGGAGCTTATAGATGGAGACAGACTAACTCCTTTTGTTATTTGCATTAAAATTACTTTGGGTCTCTGTTCAAAAAAATAAATTAACTAAGCTTTAATGAAAAGCAAAAGTAAACTAATAAAATACACATTTTTAAATAAAAAATTACATCCAAATATAATTCCTGCATCTAGACCAGTGGCATTTAACTGGGAACAATTTGTTTCCCTCCACCTCATCATTTGGCCAAGTTTGGAGACCTTTCCGGTTGTCACATCAGAGGGGGGCTACTGCGGGCACCCAGTGGGCAGAGGCCAAGGATGCTGCTGCACATGCCGCAATGCACAGGACAGCCTTCCCACAACAAAGATTCTCTGAGCCAAGATGTCAACAGTGCTTAGAAACTCTGATACAAATATTTTTCAAACATTTATTATGAAAATGTACACATACATACATTAGCCATATGTTTAAGTGGCATAATAAACAATGTAGCGTTCTTATTTACATATGGTCATAAAAGGTACTCCTATCCCTGATATTTCTTACCAAAAAGCTTTAGGTAAATACTTATCTCATAGTGTTAACCGTATAAGTTTTTTGACTTTTTTTTTTTTACCAAAGAGAAGTTCATCTAGAAATGAGAGGGGGGAAACCAATGCAGATGAATCTCTGCTGTCTTCATTCTGCAATTTATACTTCCTCTTGGCCTTTACATCTGTGAATGTTATGAGCTTATGAGCCTTACATTTGTTGCTGATGGGTAATATTTTTCTTTTTTTATGTGTGGCTGGTTAGATGACAGCCTGCGGAAGAAAAGGCTTAGTGTAATGTGCATATGCTCATTCTGAATTGTTTTGGGATATGCACAGCTTGTTACTTCTGCTAAGTAGATTAATTAATGGAAAGACATCAAATTAGTAATATGTTTTATAAAGTGTTATTGGGATTGAATTAAAATGATAAAAGATTGAAGTTAACATGTCCAATTCATGTTTTAAGGACTGAAAGACCTGGTATAATGTAAGTTTTCATAGAAGCTTCCAGAAAATTTTTTGTAAGTTGGTTTTTAAGTTTCATGAAGAGAGTTGGGTTCACATGACCATGAAGATATTAGACCTGACAGAAAAAGAAGTTTACTTCATTACTCTGTAACATCTAAGATGTTCCTGGAACATTAAGTCACATAGTTCCAAATTATTCATTGCACAATTAAATCCATGATTCTTACATACTTGACTTACCTTAGCTTCTATTAATACAATCTAGAAAGTAAAATGATTTTGGTATTTGTCTGATGATTATTTTGATTATTGAATATGCTCCTTACTTAGTTTTAGTTGCTTCACTTAACTAGTCTTTTAACAAGCAACTTCCTTTTATTTGAATAACGTAGCACCATATCTTGTGCCTAGTAGGTGCTCAATAAAAACTGATGCAGTGGATGAGTAAATGAAGGTAGAGAACCTTCTAGACTAGAAGTATCCAATTTCACTGCCTGCATTGTCCAAATTAATTAAACAGCTTCTACATGTTCTTTGTAGAGAGAGGAATAGTCAAAGAATTCCTTTCACTTTCATTTTTTTGTGCCATAGAGTTAAAAAGAATGCAAAAAGTAAGATTATTGACAACAGTAGCATAGCCAAAAAGCTTTCTACCCATTTTCTCATGGTTATAAGTATTTTTCAGAAGTAAGCAACTCAAATGTCAATCATTTTTAAGTCCTAGGGACTACTTCAGGATATGCAATGGTTTCTTCGTGTTTGGGGTATTATCAACAAATGAGTGTCCTTAGATTATCAGGTCTTCTAAAATATTTTATTTATTTATTTTTAGAGAGAGGGGAGGGGAGGACTAAAGGGAGAGAAACATTGATCAGTTGCCACTCACACATCCCAAACTGTGGACCCAGCCCACAACCCAAGCATGTTCCCTGACTGGGAATCAAATCAGCGATCTTTTTGGTTTGCAGGCTGGTGAGCCACACCAGCCAGAGGAGATTATCAGTCTTCTGATTCAGCTTGCTAATTCAGTTGAGAACAAGGTTTTAAAAGTAATCTATAATAATTACCATATTTTATCTCTACAGGAAGTAGAAAGGATGAGAAATGTGCAGAAATTGTTAATGTTATTTCAAAAATTCCCTTTACTGTTTCTGGTTCTCCCTCTTCTCTAACAGCAGTTACTTATTCAAAGCACTGTGTCATTTTGATATTCCTTGCTATTTCATGAAACTATGACCATAGATGCCATTTATTTTTACATATTCTCAAAAGTGTTCATTATGCTTTCAAAAATTAGGGCAACATAAGGAATGCTTACCGTTTAAAATGGTAAAACTATACATTATTATCTCTTTATGGCAGAACATTGTTCTAGGTGTGGAGATATAAAAAGGACAATGAATCCTGACTCTCAAGAGATTTATAATCTCATTGGAGAAAGAAAAAAGAAAGCAAAACTTAAACAACAGTACAAAGTGCAAATAGGAAGCCTGTGTAAGACCTTACTGTAACTCATATTATCCTTTACCAGGTCTATCCATCCATCGAATGTAAAAATCTCTTCAGTTCAAAAGAAAAAATAGTCCAAACTGAATGGGGACCAAGGAAAGGATTTGTTTATATTGAAAAACATACAAACATAAGAAGTACCATCGTGTCATTTATAAAAACTTAAAGAAAACCTTTTCAGCTGTTCTTAGAATATTATTTTTTTCATTGTATGACTTACTGGGCTTGCAAATATGCTATGGATCTAGAATTAGTGTTTAAAAAAAGAAAGATAATAGGGTCTTCTAGAAATTAAATGTTAATAGTGGCTCAGTATTTAAAATTTGCAGCATAGTTCCTCCCTAAAAGGGGGGCAAATATTGACCCTTAAAAGTATTTTTTAATAATTTATTTGAAGCAATTATAAGGTAAAGAAAGGGACCTTGGATACATACATTTTCCCATAGGTCTGTTTCATTCTCTTGTGTGATCCAAAAACAAATGCAAATCTTCTACAGATTGTTCCTGGAGCAATGGCAAGTTGTTCTTTCTCATGGCTGAAGAATCTTCCATTGTGTGTGTACATATATCACAACTTCCTTAACCATTCATCCATTAACAAGCATAGTTAGCACAGTGGTTATGAGCACTGGCTATGTAAACTTATGTAGGCTCCTTTAAACCTAAGTTGTTTGTAAAACAGGTAACAATAGCTGGTATTTATTAATACTTACTAAGTACCAGGCATGTTCCAAGAGTGTCACTTGTGATATGTAGTTTAATCTTTGTACCAACTCTGTGAGAAAGATACTATTATTTCAATTTTCTAGCTAAGGAAACCCAAGTCCCAAAGATGTTAAGTAATTTGTTCACGGTCACACAGCTAATAGGTGTCTGAGTCAGAATTCAGACCCAGGCAAATCAGCTCTTGAACCTGCGTTCTTGACCACTGTGATGTACGGCTTCCACGAGTGGTATTCGTACTAATCTCCCCTTATTACATATGGGAGAAGAAAATAAGATAATATCCACCATGTACATAGCTTTTTGTGTGTTTGGCCTGTAGTGGAAACTCTGAAAATATTAGTCATTGGAATTATTATCCCTTTAATTCAAAATGCTAACTTTTAAAAATGTCAATGAAAATTTCTGCTTGTAACTTAGCTCTGTATAATTTGTTTCTTAACAAACTGATTATGTTGATATTCATTAAAGAGAGCTCAGCTGTTGATCTTCCTATTTTGTTTAGATTTACTCTTCTGTTTATTTTATATTAGCTTCTTAATCTCTGGCTGAGGTTGATTTATTACTCCTGAAAGCAGCAACACTGAGGACATTTCTTTACTGGCATTTTGTTTCTAAGTGATCCCTTTGCCTTCCCATTCCTTGAAATAGCTATCTGATTTTTCTTTCAATTTATCAATTACATAGTGACTTTTGAAGTATAGGAATTTGATTTATTTTAAAATAGTGTTTCCCTTTTTTTAAGACACCATCACTCAAGAGATGACGATGGCTGCTCAAGAAACGGAAGCCACTTTATCACTGGTGACACAAGAGCCTCAGGTTTCTAGCCTCCAAGTTACCAGAGAAAACGGCGAGCCAGGGGAAGGTGAAGAGCCCCCCTCTGCCTCGTCCGATGCTCCTGGTGTCACTCTGCTGTCAAGACGATGGGAGACTCTGGTCACTACAGTTTCAACTACAGCTGCATCTCCGTCTTTCGAAGTTACTCCCACTATGGAAGGTCTGTAAGGGCGGGAATTGGACTCGGTGTTACGGGGGGTGGGGAAGGAGGGTGGATCTTTTCTGTGAGTTGAGAAGCAACAGAATGAGCCAGGCAGGTGGCCCTGTCACCAGGGTGCACACACCCCCCTCACCTGGAGAGCGAACAGGAAAGGTAGGTGAGCTTATTTGGAGAGATGTCACTCAGCCTCAAAGAACGAGAGGTTAGTGCCTAAGAAGAATCTCCTGGTGGCTCATCTCAGGGGCCAGAGAAGGCCAGGCCTCAACTTCTGAGACCTCTGTCCTAGTCGGAGAGCTCTGGCCGCTAGGAGCCAGGGGGGGAGGAGAAGAGAGCAAGGACAGGGGTTTGAATCTCAGCTTTGGCTCTCACTAGTACTGCGGCCGCAAGGAAATTTCTCAATGTCTCCAAGCCTTGTTTTTTCATCTCTAAATAATGCCTATCTGTCTTACAGGTTATTTTAAGTGTTTAATATATACAAATTGCTTCCTATATAGGAAGCCCTCAGATGCTCTGATATCTTATAGATAGTGAAGTCTTCAACGCTGGGTGATCATCGGAATGACAAAACTATTGCCAATAACTTTTAACTTTTGTAACTTTTAATAATTACAAAATTATTACCTAATTATTTTTGGATCTCATGTGTTTGTTTCATCATTGATCTAAGTAAAGCTTGCTTTTATTTATTAACTAAGTTATTTTTACCAATGTAATAAATACCTTCTAATCCTGCTCCCCCCAAAACACCCCAAGAGCCTCATCAATAGCCTACCTGGAGCCCCATGACCCTTCCCATCTCAACCCCTTCCTCCTCTGACTGTTAACCTCCTGAATCTGGTGCTCGTCATTCCCTTGCCTTCCTTTTCTTTTAGTTTTATTGCATCTATATTTACTCCTAAAATTATACATTTAAAAATCTTAGTTGTTTTTTAACTTTATAAAAATGCTATTGTCCTGTAGATAACCTTTTTTGGGACTTACTCTTTTTTTAGTTAATAGTCTATGGCTAAGATTTACTTACTCCAGCTCTTTTGTTGTGACTGCTTTTAATACTCCATTATGAAAATATATCAGTTTATTCATTCAATCCAGTCTCTCCTAGCGGTTCGCATTGGAGTCACTTCCAGGTTTGGTTATTTGCATACATCACTGCCATATGCATTCTTTTCCACATTCTCTATTGTGCATGAGTCGGAGTTTCTCTTGGGAATATACCTGGGAACTGAATTGCTGGGCCATAAGGTATATGAATTTTCAAATGTAGGAGGCAGTGCCTAACTGTTTTCCAAAGTGATTGCACCAATTTATACTCCTGACAGCAATATGTATGAGACTGTGAATCCATATCCTGGGAGCTTTTAAAAATACTTTCTCAGGCATCACCCCTGAGGAGATTGCGGTTCGGTGAGTTGGGATGTGTGGAAAGCATGACATTGACATTTGAAAAATTGCCTCAAGAGACTGTGATGATCAGCCAGGCTGGCAAAATACTACTCTCCTAGAGTTTTTAGATTTGGGAAGATCTGGGGCTAAATTTGGCTGCTTTGAACTTGAATATATTCCTGACACAGATCTAGGCTCTTACTCTTTGACTTGATTTTTTTAAAGTAGTCTTTAGCATACACTTTAATACATTTGTGTTAAATTTTCTATCTTTGGTGATAAATGAAACACAGTCCTAAAAAATCCATAATATTGCCCATAGAATAAATGGGAAATTCAAATTTAAAAACAAAGGTCTGATTTGAGACCATATCTTTTCCTGCAGGATAAAGCGTTTGCTTTGCGTGGCTGGACCGCTGCAGCATGGTCGGGGGCGGGGGGCTGGTCTGAGTGTCATGAATGATTTCTTGCTTGAAAAGTGAAAGCACAAGTGTACATTTCCCATAATGATCATCTTTGGGTCAAGTCCTGTCTCTTGTGTTTGGCAGACCTGAAGGACACAGTCACAGGGCCGAAGGAGGAGTGGATCACACCAGTTTTTGGCTCTCCAGTGACACGCCCTGGAATAATGGAGGAGGCACCTAGCGTTTCTCCAGAGCTTTCTGATTCTGAGGCTTCCTCTGAGAGAAGAACCCTTGTTCCATCCATCAGTCTTGTTAATACAGCTGCCCCATATGGCCTGGACCAGCTTGAATCTGAAGGTAATTCATACTTTGAAGGGCATCTTTCCTAGGACTGATTAAATGAGTCACTGAGCAAATGTTTTAAAGAAAGATCAAGAAGTGGATTCAATCTGCAGGGTAGGATCAGTAAACTATGGCCCAGCCATATCTGACCTGCCATCTGTTTTTATGTGGCCTGTAAGGTGAAGATGGTGTTTGCATTTTTAAATAATTGAAAAAACCAAAAGAATATTTTGTGACGTGGAAAAGTTATATAAAATTCAAATGTCAGTGTTCCTAAAGAAAGCTGTATTAGGACACAGCCACACATGGTTCTTTATGTCATGTCTGTGGCTACTTTTGTGCCAGAGCAGCAGTTAAATCGTTGAGACAGACTAAATGCCTACAAAGCCTACAATATTGACAATACGGCCCTTTACTGAAAAAGCTTGCTCCCCCCTGGCCTAGATCATTACTTCTCGACTACTGCTTGAAGTTTAGAATCATCTTGGGGAGATTTAAAAACCCTAATGCCTGAGTCCTTCTCCCAGTGATTCTAATTCATTTTGCGTGGGATGGGATCTGGCATGAACATTTTAAAAGAGTGCTTCAGATGAGTTCAGTATGCAGGCCGGATTGAGAATACTGGTTTAAATGGAAAACTTGAGTTTCTCCACCAGATTTCTTGGATGGAGGTTTTAACGTGGTTTGTATTTTCATAACAGTGTTCTGGTTGTTAAGTTGGGTTATTCTCTTCTTTTATTCATAACATCTCTGGGTTAGGATGTTATACTATTTGGAAATAGGCAGTCTCATCACCTGTTAAGACTGAGAAATTCATGCCAATTTATACTTTCCAAGACATTGTCTTTGAGCATGAAAAAGATGCTTGGAGCACAGCTGCACAAACAGGAAGACTGGAAATATGGCGATGGACCATTCAATTACTCAGCATTTTGGCAGGCGAATAGCTTCTGGCTAGAGGTACAGAATATCCACAGATTTTTAGTGCCGAGTTTCTTAAACTAATCTGGAAGACAGGTAAGCTTTTGGGCACTAAGATAGCCATGTGTTTGATACAGTAAAGACATAGGATGTGCTGTTATTTTATATTTTATCTACTTTACAGCAGGGAGGGTGGTTCGGCCGACTGTGTGGTAGACTTTCAGGGTTACACTGTAGTTTTCCGACAGAGAAATGTGACATTTTACGAGTAGTGTGGAAAATTCCGTAGAATTGTGGTTTAAAAAATGGATCAAAGCAAGCTCAGGGGCTAACAGCTTTTGCACTTCACATTAAGATAAAAATCAAATGACTTTGAGCTTAGTCTCGTATTAAATGTATGCTCTCAATACCATCTGGAAAAAGCAGGTTTCCCAAAATTAATCTCAATTAGAGATGACAGCTTTACCCAGCAGGGCACATTAAATCAGAGAAAAAATATATTTAGGAATAATCCATACTTGTGAAACTGCAATAATTTTCTAAATTTAGTAGGTGATGACAGTTGTATCAAAATATGTGAGAATTTTCTTAACTTGCCTAAGATACTCTGGAGTAAGTTTTTCTATACAACTCAATTTCAACTTCCTTTAGAGGATATATTTTGTCAGTTTTGCATCTAAATTATGATCCTTGTCAGGGCTTACAAATGACATTTTTTTGGTTAGAAAGTATTCTTTCCACTACATTGCTGTGTTTAAGATTTTGAATGAACACACTTTTTCTCCTAAATACTGAGACAATTTCTCTTTAATTAGAATACATTAATAGTTTCACACTTAGTTTTATGCTGGTCCATCTAATCCTCTGAAAACTAAGGTGACTCCACTTATTTGAACTTACAAACTTTCTAGGTTCCTGGATGCCTTGGAGGCCTCCATTTTCGCACATTTTTCCATGTTGCCCTGAAATGTAGATGCAGCCTACATCTTTGACTGGGTGAAGCTTTTTAATTCTACCATAGGATTATACCCACCGGACGATCATTAATGCTTTCCTAGAACAGTGAGTTGTGCTATGTCAAGTTACCTACCTTTTAAGTTTTAATTTCTGTGACATGTTGAGGAATGACATATAATTCTCCAGTTTCAGATCTGTGTTTATTTAGTTACATGATCAAACTCCTCATATGTTATTTTAATATCTTCCCACTCAGGGACAGGAGCACATCTCCAGAGAGTGGGATATTTTTCCCAGTGGGGTGTGGGTAAGACCTGCCCTTATTAGATACCAGATACCCCAGGAGCAAGAACCTTTGTGGAAATTTCTGAATGTTTATTTTTTAAGAGATAATTAATGGCCCACATGAGCCTAAAATTGTATTTACATGGGACCTTTTTGTCTTCTTGTCTCCTTTATGTCTCTACAACATAATGACTAAGGGAGTGTATTAGTTTCCTATGGTGGCCATAACAAAGTATTGCGAACTGGATGGCTTAAAACAGAAATTTATTCTCTTGAAGTTTTAGAGCCTAGAACTCTGAAACCAAGGAATAAGGAGGGCCATGCTCCCTCCAAAGCCTCTAGGGCAATATCATCCTTTGCCTCTTCTGGCTGGTGGCCTCACGCATTTCGTGGTTTGTGGAAGCATCTGTCCTTGTCTTCACATGACCATCATCCCTGTCTGTGTCTCTCTGCCCAAACTTCCCTCGTCTTATAAGGACACCAGCCATTAGATTAAGACTCCCCCCAATAACTTCATCTTAACTTGATTACATCTGCCAGTACCCTATTTCTAAATAAGGTCACATTCACATGTACTAGGGGTTGGAGCTTGAATGTATTTTTTTTTGGGGGGGGGTGCGCATGACAGAATTTAAAACATAACAGGAGTTTTCCAGATGGCTCTGCAGGCAGCCGTGCTCTGTCTCGGGAACACCTCCCTGAGAGGTGTGCCCTGGCGGAGGGGGAGACGTTTCGGTGTGTTTGACATCTCTCAGGCACTGCAGAGAGCCGGCCTCCGTAAGTGCATGCTGTGCTGTGCCTCTTTCAGTGTTTTTTGCATTGTCAGCAAAAATGTAGTTTGATTTATGAAGGGATAATGGTTTACCTGTCATCTTGCCTGATACTCTTTACTTCTCTGTAAATTTTTTTAGGAAATAAATGTTTTCGGGGTGAGAAAAAATGCATTATACTTATCTCAGGCATAACTCTACTAGGGCTGTATTCAGCATCTTTGAAATATAAACATGATAAATGTATTCTAATTTTTTATTCAAAATAGGATAATGGCAAATTTTTTATATACATATATATATCTCACTACATAAACTAATTTCTGGACATGACCTCTGTATAGATTGATAGCCCTTTTTTGTTGAATATTAATGTCTTTCTCTGTTACAAAATGATGAAGTAAAATTTCTAATTACTTATGAATGGTACTGGCCTTTTAAAAAAAAGACATATAGATAAGTGAACAGAATAGAGAGCCCAGAAATAAACCCATGCCTTTATAGTCAATTAATATTTGACAAAGGAGGCAAAATCATACGGTGGGGTAAAGATAATTTATTCAATAAATGGTGTTGGGAAAATTGGACAGTTACATGCAAAAAATGAGACAAGTCCACCTTCTTACAACATACACAAGGATAAACTCAAAATGGATTAAAGACTTAAGTGTTAGACTAGAAACCATAAATGAAACCATAGAAGAAATCATAGGCAGTAAAATCTCAGACATTTATCGTAGCAATATTTCTTCTGATATATCTCCTCAGGCAAGGGAAACAAAGGGAAAAAAGTAAACAAATGGGCTACATCAAACTAAAAAGATTTTGTACAGCAAAAGAAACCACCAAGAGAATGAAAAGACAACCCACTGAATGGGAGAACATACTCGCCAATGATATCAGCTGATAAGCTGATTCTTGAAGGTGTCCTGACCAAAGTTTATAAAGAACTTATAAAACTCAACACCAAAAAAAAAATCCAGTTTAAAATTGGGCAAAGATCCTGAATAGACACTTCTCCAAAGAGGACATACAGATGGCCATTAGACATATGAAAAGATGCTCAACATCACTAATTATCAGAGAAATGTAAATTAAAGCACAATGAGAGATCACTTGACATCTGTCAGAATGGCTCTCATCAATAAATCAACAAACAGCAAGCACTGGCAAGGATGTGGAGAAAAAGGAACCCTTGTGCATTGTTGGTGGGAATGTAGGCTGGTGCAGCCACTGTAGAAAACAGCATGGAGTTTCCTCAAATAATTAAAAATAGAACTGCTTTATGACCCAGTGATTCCACTTCTGGGAATATATCTGAAGAACCTCGAACCACTAATTTGAAAGAATATATGCACCCCTATGTTCATTGCAGCATTATTTACAATAGCCAAGATTTGGAAGCAGCCCAAGTGTCCATCAGTAGATGAGTGGAAAAAAAATCTGTGGTACATTTACACAGTGGAATACTACTCTGCTGTAAAAGAAAGGAAATCTTTCCCTTTGTGACAGCCTGAACGGACCTGGAGAGCACTATGCCGAGTGAGATAAGCCAGTCAGAGAAGGACAAATACTATGTGATTTCACTCATATGTGGTATCAAATGAACAAAATAAACTCACAAACAAAGTAGAAACAGACTCATAGACACAGAGAACAGACAGAGAGCTGTCAGAGGGGAGGAGGGTTGGGAGGCTGGGTAAAAAAGGTGAAGGGATTAAGCAACAAAACAAAACAGAACAGAACATACAACCAAAACAAACAACCCCAGAGACACAGACAACAGTATGGCGAGTGCCAGAGGGAAAGGGGACTGAGGGGAGGAAGGAGAGGGCAAGGAGGAGTTAAGTGGTGACGGAAGGAGACTTGGCTTTGGGTGATGAACACACAATAAATATACAGATGATGCATCACAGAATTGTACACCTGACACCTAATAAATTTATTAACCAATGTCACTCCAATAAATTCAATTAAAAAAAGAATAGTTTTTAATAATACAAGTGACTATTTTTCAATGTAGCAGAGGCAACCAGGTACATGGCCTCAAGCTAATAAATACCTTTTACAGGAAGCTACACT